GGTGTCAGATATAGATGTGCAGTGTATGATTCAATTTAGAAATTATTTTCCTTTAAATGGGTGCCACCTTGTGGATAAAAAGTCCTTAGTGCAGTGGTTTTGAAACTAAAACTAGATTGGTGGCAATTTCTCATAGCTAGCTAGATCTTATGTTTCATGTTCCATCTGTAAGAATTCTGTCATAAAGAACTTTATGCAAAAGATTTTATATGTTTTGAATATATGATCATTTAAAAGCTATTTATGCTGTTGTATCCAGTTCATTTGATGATTATAAGTTCAAGATTCTGATAATTTGCCATCCTGTAATACTATACAGGAAAAAAACCCAAAGAAACAAAGTATAAAGGAGGAAATATATTCATTTATTCTCATAAATAATATTAGACCACTCTAATCTGCAGTTGTACATGTGCTTATTTTGCTTGCAAAAGTGTGTTGTTCATGTGTGCACATTGTGTATGTGTTTATTATAGACCTTAGTTATCTGACTTTAACATGCTCAAATCCTAAGCACGTAAACCAAGAAGTAAGTAATTTTAAAATCTTCTTATGCAAAAAATGAAGAAGATAGCTTTGAAGACCTGAAGATACAAAATTTTCTGAAGATGCCAACTTACTTGTTCACAGGCAGGAAAAAAAGGTCACACTGAGACTTACTCTGGCTGTTAAAGGCAGTCCCTACCAGCCGCCAATCCAAGAGGCAAGGTAAAAGGGAAAGGGAAAATAAAGAGAAAAAGAAGACAGAGTTGAGAGAATGGACACCTTATGAGGAGGATAAGCTGAAGAAGGAGGGGCAGGGACACCCTGGGGACTGTGGGCTGTCCCTGCTCCCACTGCTCTCCCTGCTCCCACTGCTCAATCCCAGCTCCACCCTCCCAGACCCCCCCCAGTGAGGTGTGGGCACTGACTGATGTGGCCCATGTATCATCCCATGCACAGAATCTCCCTCAGGTCCCATTCCCTTCCTCTTTCACCAGTTGCTGGCCCCATATTCTTCCTGAGGACCAGGAGTCCCAGTCTCATACAGTTTAAAGGGCCTTTGTGGGGATTATGCAAATTAACCTGTCTACTACCAACCCTGCTTGGATTGGTGACCAGAGGACATATTGGCAGAGTATTCAAGAGTGCCTCCTACCAGGAGGGTAACTGGGCCACCTCATGACTGAATTCTGACATAATTTCTCTTACCAGGTACCCATACCCTTCTCTTGCCCTTTTACACTATTACTTTGTCACACCATTCTGTCACCCTAAGTACAGCCACTGGTCGGTTCTTATCCCCACCCAAATGAGTGTAGTTTCAGCATTTGGAATTGGGATCAGCCGTGGCCCTCTCCTCATTTATATGACCTTGCCTGCTACAAGGGGCAGGAGAGGCTCCTGGGCCAGACCCAAGTAATGAGATGTGATCATCTCATTATTTGGTGAGGTGAGGCTAGAAGTGATCTCCCCACTAGCACTGTCCAGCTCCCTCATTCGAGAACAGCCCCTTGTGTTCTTCCACCTGGAGGTCAGGCAGAGAAAGAATCCTCTTTACAGATGGGCCTGTGAACAAGAGACATTCATGCCCCACCTAAGCTTGCCCCTGGTTGCATCAAAACCTGTTTGTAAATCTGGAGGAGCCCCAGCTCTACAGATGAGCTCCACCCAAGCAGGTGAGCACCATTGAGGGTAGAGTCAATGCCCAGCCTAGTTTGGCTTATTTTAGGGTTCCCCTCCCCCCACCCCCACTGCATTCTGGACCACTTGGCTTTATGCATCTAGCATTTCCTTGATCTCTTGTTTTTAAGACATTTTGTCTTGTCCACTGTTTATGCTCCTAGCTGAGATATCCTCCTCCAGACTGATGAGTGACTGGATGTTCAGGCCACTCGCATTAGCACATTAGCTCCTATTCCCACCCTGTGTGCTTCCATATCTCAGGGAACATCCCTTCCTTCCTGCAGGTGGTCCTTGAGTGACCCTTCTTCCTATCTGGTCCTGGTTTGAGTGTCAGACTACATGTTGATGGGCATGTTTCTGAAATACCTAAATACAATGCTTGGCAGAAGTTAAATGCAGCTGTCTTAGCTGTCCTCCATAAACCTGTGTGTTTGAGATCCCTTTTTTCTGTGGAGGTTGTTCTTTTGGCTAGTCCTTCGAGGCAGATGCCAGATAAATTCACCACACTGTAAATCATGAGGAGATTGGACCTTTGTTTTTATTGCTGGCCAAACATAAATTCCCTAGAAAAATATATTAGAACAGCCGGTCACCAAAGAGCAACAAAGCTGAATTAAAAGCCTCCAGTACAGTGGGGTTTGCAAACACTGGTTCTGTTTCCATAAGTGAGAACAGCTCTCCTGGTGGGGTTTCTTTATCCAACCCTTTAAAAGCACTTAGAGATTTTCTGTGCTAAAGCATATTTTAGAAAAACTTATAATGAGTGGAAGGAAAAAAACTGCAAAACAAAAAGTAAAAAAGGACAAAAACAATCCTCGGATGGGTTTTTGATGGGCAGGCTTCTGGAAGTCAGCCTGCTGGACGTGTAACACATGCTATGGAATATTCATCTTGTCTCTCTATGATCTCTGTCTTTGTGTTTGCTATTAGTGAGCCTTGGAGGTTATCACGAATGCCAGTTGTGTGAAATGAGCGCAACTGACAGGATTTAAAGGCTAAAACCAACCTTTCTAATCCCTCTATTCCCCGTTCTGCTCCTTAGGCCATGCCTCTTCTGCAAGACTATACGACATCCTTGCTTCTCTTATGGGAGCTGCACTAATTTCCTGAATGTCAGTCAAAGCCGCCTTCCTTGAGGAGTTGTAGAAATCCGGGTTTCTGTTTTTGACTAGATGGAAAAGGAGCTATAAAGATTTTTCAGAACAAGATGACTGTTGGTAGTTTTGCCATATTTGCTTAACGTTTTCACTTCTTTACTTGCTAGTTTAGAAATATAGAGTTCTTTTTTTTCTTTCTTTAGATTGGTTAATAAAATTAGTTAAAATTTATTCTAACATAAAAATATGTGTAGAGATCAATTAATTCATCAGTATTTTTATTAACTAACTTCATGAATAGTGAACAACAGCTATGTGTGCTGGACATTGTTCTAAGTGCTGGGGATACAAAACAGACTAAGTCCCTGCTCTCCTGAAACTTATAGTGAGCAGAGAAAAATAAGTAAATAGGCAAAAAGATACATAATGTGAGGTGGCAAGCACTATGGTGAAAAACAAAAGTTAGGAGCTAGGGAATAGTGGCTGTTCAGGGGTGGGTTACTCTTCTACACAGGATGGTCAGGGGAGGCATCTCAGGTAAGGCGGTATCTGAAGGATATGAGGGAGTGACCCAGGTGGAGCAAACAGCTAGTTGTAAACACCAAGGTGCTCAGCATATTCAAGAACTTTTTAGGTTATAGTCAAGACTTTTTGGATTTTATTTTTAATGAGAAGGAAAGTCATCAGAAAGTTCTGAATAAAATCTGATTTCATAAAATGATTTCATTTGTGTTTTTAAAGAACCAGTTTGGTTGATATTCCGATAGTGTGAGGGGATAAAGGAGAGAACAGTGCAACTAGTTAGGAGTTGATTATGGTTAAGTGTAGGAAGAGGAGTAGATTGGACTAAAGCTGTGATGATGGAAGTCATGAGCAGTGATTGGATTTTGCAACTATTTAAGATAGAGCCAATAGGACTGGCGGATGGATTAGGTATAAGGCCTAAGGAAAACAAGAGTCAAGCATGACCCTGAGGCTCCATCCAGTAGAAAGAGAACCTATAGTGATGCAGGAACGAAAGGGATGATTGCAGGCAGAAGGGGTTGGGATCAAGCATACAAGCAGATTGTTGGGAAGAGCAAAATGTACTGATACAGATGCAGGTAGATGCGTTGGTAGATTTGGTGGTAAGAAGTTTTCAAAGACCATGAAGTGAAAATCTGGAGGCAGAGGAGGAGTTAGAGGCTTGAGAAAGGAGTGTGGTGAAGTAGAGTGGAAGGGTGAATTGACCAGTGAGTGTTGCTCATGCGTCCTGTGCATCAGAGCCACTTAGGACACTTGTTAAAACACTAGTTCCCTCACCCTGAAACTTTCTGATTCAGGAGGTCTGGGAGGCACCCAAGAGTTTGCAGTTTCATAAGTACCTAGGTGATGCCAATGCTGGTCCAGAGACCAGACTTCTGGAAACACTGGGCTGGGGAAATGATTTAAAATGGAGGGTCAGGGCAGCACTAAAGGCCTCCTTGACCCTGGTACTAATGCATGCAAATTTTGTCAACATGGTCATGTGCCTTTTTCCAGCCCTGATCAGCTGCTCAAGAGCTAGCAGCAGCAGGTAAATAATTGGACTTAACTAAATAAAGTGAAGTGTTGATATCACCAGGATACTTGGAAGGTCGTACCTCTATGTGATATCTTTGTATTCTGAAATTGTTAGTTGAACATCTTTTATTTTAAATAGAAACAATAAGAGAATCTGGGACGGAGAAAGAGGAAAATGGAAGTTTATGGATGAAGTTCAATGTTGTAGGACTTAGAAGTAAAATGGAGTAATATCCACCTCTGGTCTCATATGGCAAGGAGAAACATATGCCCCTTTCCCTAAAATACCTGCTTCTGTGGTCTACTAAAGAGCCAAATTCTGAAATATACTTTGAAAAACTCAGTTCTTTTGTATCTTATAAGATTACATCACAAACTGAATTTTAAGAGGGTTATGTTGTTCTTTGAAAATATTTATAACCTCCTATAAAAAAATAAGTAGTTAAGTGCAGAGCTTCACACACCACAATGATATCAGCACATGCGGTAAAGAGAAAATCAGCTGTTAGAGTAAGGGTCACAACTCATTAACCAGAACAGGAAGAGAAGAACTGACTTCCGTGAAAAGGAACAGTGTTAATTGAAATACAGTATGTAAAGCAGCAATTTAAGTATACTATGGTATATCTACATAGTAAGCAGTATTATATTTTAAGTGTAACTGATAGTTTTCTTTTTGTTAAAAAAACAAAACAGATTCTACTGGAGCCAGGTGTGATCCAGGATGTGCTAGCAGCAGGCAGTCACCTACAGCTGTTGGAGCTTCTCAATTTATGCTCCCACTATCTCATCCAGGTACGTGAGCTTGCATCCTGCTCGTACACCCTTCACATTCCTTTCCCCACAGTCATAAGCTGTCCCTCACCAACTGGAGCTGAATGACAGGTAAAGTGGGGGTGGAGTGTGGGCTGTGGCAGTAGAGTTTCTCCAGGACACTAACTGGGAGGCTCCTAGGAGGGCAGCTGCAGCTCTTGCATCCAGTTACGGAAGTGGGAGTTTTCCTCCACTCTCCTGCCCACCTTAGGTCCCCAAGACCCTCGAGCAGCCAATTAACTCAGGGACCACATGCAGGGTTCTCTGTAGGGGACTGAGGAGGTGACACTGAAAGGAGTCCTAGTCCAAAGCAATATTGTCTAGTTATGGAAATAATCACAAATGTAAGAAAAGACTAATAGTCATTGAAGATTTCAGTAACAGTATCTAGTAAATCACAAAGTCCTATGTAATTAATTACCATGTTACCTTCCCAGGTAGTAAATGCTGGAGAAGGGATGAGTGATGTGCACATTCTTCCCCTGATTTGCTGGTCAGGAAAGGCTCCCTGAGAAGGAGGGAGATAAAACTTCTGAACACCAACCACTGACTGTGTATTCACCATTGTTTCACATTCAGTCCTCACGATAACTTTGCAGATTTTTATAGATTTAAAAAATCAGAGACTCAAACTGTATCCAACTTGCCTGAGGTAATATGGTTGGTAGGATTTTCTGATTCCAAAGACCATTTCTTTCTTGGATGAAAACTCCTTGTTAGGTAGGAGTCTAAGGGGCATCTTAGGCAGACAGCATGGCTATGAGTCTTTTGGACTTTGCAGAGCATTACTAACTAATTTCCAACTTTAGGATCCTCCCATTTCCCCCACTGGTGTCACCTTCACTTGCATTTATTATACCATTACAAAATTAATTTGAAGAAATGATAAAGTCACCACACAATTTAATTCTGCTGTCTTTGTGCATATGACATATTAGTGAGCAGATGACTTTTGTTTTCCTGCCCAATTAATTTATTTTCCTTTTAAATCATTTTCTCTAATTTTAAATATATACTTTTATCATTGACTTCTGTTACCTGTTAGGTAGTTTATAAAGCTCATGCTCACCTAGCATCTTATTTAATCTTCCCAGCAACCCTGGAAAATAGGAACCATCACTTTCCAGGGAGACAGTGTGAGTAAGGTCAGCCATATTCACCTGAGGAAAATTCAAATACAGTAGATGGAATTCTTATGATTATCTCAGCACATTTAATCTAACAGTAAATGGTTAACACTTTTTTACCTTATTTTCCTTTCTTTCCCCTCGATATTGTTAGGTGGTATGGGAAAGCTGTTTTTAATCCCTTTCTGCCTGTAGCAAATGGGAATCATGGAGAAAGGTTATAAGACTTCAGAAGTGTGTGTTTGACTTGTGAAATTGAAATTACTTTTATTTGACATTTCTACATCAAATATTACAACTTGGGCTTCATGCATCATCACCTGATTCACTTTCCCCGTGGCAGATAGTAATCAGGGATGTATGTTGACACAGTTTGGTTACAGTGTTAGTTATCATGATGCACATTATAAGCGGTGTGTACATGCATGGGTGTGTGGGTATACCTAAGTCTGTAATTTTCTGTAAGTGAGAATCCCAGATGAACAGTAAACGTTCATGGGTACTTTCCCCATCTCGTCAGATAGGTGATTTGTTGAGATACTAAGTGACTTGTATACTTTGGAATTTAACTTCTACATTTCATTATTTTGCCGAGGTAAAAATATAGCATGCCTACAGATATATTTTGTGGACAGTTATTATTCAGGCTTCTTGAATAGTGGTTGAAACTTTCACTGTCTTTTCACAAATGTTTTCATTTTGTCATGTAAGTTTACTTTTTCTTTTTATCTGTGATTATTGCAAGATGTCAAACTTGTAGATGGAAACTTTGACTATATGAATACCAAAATCATATACCCTTATTTCAGCCTTTTAAAAATATATACCCTTCTTCTTCCTTTCTATAATCCTTCCTTAGGATTATAGAAATCAAAGACAGGGTCAATTGAATCTACTTTTATATTTTGCTATAGTCTCATAGCTATATTTATTTGCTATTTTTTGGTAATATTGTTCAACTGATTTTTAATTTAATGTGGGACTATTTCATTGAATATATAAAAATAACATTTTGTTAATGTGAAAAATTGCCAGTGTTTAAAATGTACCCAGAAATTGTGCCCCATCAATCAATGCTGATACATTCTCCATCTTTGTGTGGTGCTTTGTCAACTAGGAGTTTTTGAAACCACTCTCTTCACTAAGATGCCTGGTATTGTTTTGTTGTTCTTAAAATGTCATTCTTTGTTTGGTTTCTCTGCCAGAGGAGTGAAGGGAAGGCCTGCTCAAATATCCCATTGACCTCTAGGGCTCATTACAAAGTATGTCCAAGGAGAACCTTTGATGGAAGCTCCCTGAGCCTCACCGGCCTGCAGTTCCTCTGAACATGTAAATGGTGCTGCTGCCCTCCTGAAAGGGAAAGGGACACCTGGCACTATGTGGGCTCCTTTCTCTTGCATTTCCTCTGGCAGGCTGCTGAGAGCAGGAACCCTAAATTGCAGGAGCAGTGCTCCTCTGTGTCCATGAGGACAGCTATTGAATTAGCCCCCTAATTAACCTTCTCATGGGTTCTCAAAGCATGTTTATGGGAATAAGGGAAAGCTGGGCAATGAACTTGACACTAATTGATGGGGTGTGGAGTGTTTTTGCCTTTCTTTAGGCTCCCACTATTCTTGCTTATAGGATATAGTCCCCTCTGAGCAGTGTGCTTGTTTCTAGCCTCAGTCTGTGGTAAACCATGGTCCCCAGAGCATCACTAGCTTTCCCAGGAAAGGGAACCACATATATTGAGGGTCTATCCACGCTGAGTGTTTTCAGGGACTCACATTTTCACTGTTAAGTCACCCCTTCATACAGGTGGGTATTCTTTTCTTTTTACAGATGAAGAAACTTAAATTCAGAACTAGGACGCTGATCTGGCTTGAAAACTTTCCTTAGCTACCCTGATCATCATGCAGGTGGATTATTTCACCAACAGAAGTCTTTAGCCTCATCTTCAAGTCCAGGCCTGTTCCTCCCTAGCCTCATCTCCAGCCATAGTGCTTTTCCTAGCCTGCTTTTTCTGGACCTTAAGGCAGACTTTTCATATTGGGACTTGCCATTAGGGGAGAAGATTCACTGGTGGAGATCCTCAGTGGCAGGCACATCTTCTCAGTCCCCTTCAGATTTTACCAAAGGGTAGGAGTGGGGAAAACTTCACACGCACACACACACACACACATGCGCGCGCGCACACACACACACACACACACACACACACATGAGTCCTTCGCCTCTGCTGATGCACAATGCCATAAGATAAGAAACACTGGCAACTGAACTTCCTGTTACATTTCCTGCAAGTGATGCATCAGAAGCTTTGATGGTGTCTCTTTTTTTGTAGTTAGCATTCCAAAAAACAAAGTTTATACATTTTGTATCACCTTTCCCAAATATATTATGTTGTTTTATTAACAAGCTTTCTTTATGATCACCAAGTATCATTATCTTTATCATAATATGCAATCTAAATATATTGAAAAAAAGAACCATCATGTAGACTTTCCAAATAAAACCACCAAAGTACTGAATACACAACTCCCTTTTTGATAGGACTATAGGTCTGATATCTATTGCTAGACAGCAGGTGGCAGTGTGAATCCACCAGAATTCAGTAGTTAATTTAAAGCAAAAATCAGAAAAAATGAAAAGAAAAATTATTTATTTTTCTACATATTAGTCTTCTGACCTAATCAGTAAAAAAGTCATTATTCACACCACACTGGGCAATATACATTGTAATTTTTAACATATAATAGGAAACTGTTAATGTGTTCACAGGAAATACAGTTTTGTCTTGGGCTGCTGTGGTCATTTATCAGCACACTTTGTGAAATCACTCATTTGTTCTAATTTGAATGTAAATGACTTTAAGGTTTTACAAATAAGGTGACAGACTCACATAAATGTAATTGCAGGGTTCATCTCCCTCTTTTTATATATCACTCATTAGGTTATGAATTAAATACATCGTATTAAACCAGGGGCATGTCCAATGATGATATTGTAATGGCAAATTACTCTATGCTATTAGAGGTGTATTTTTTATTCATGGACATTAATTTGTCATTAAGCGGCATTAGTTTAGCACTTTTATGTGAAAGACGTGACCTGCAAGAGGAGGCGTGCTGCTGGGATGTGAGAGGCTGGAACGCAAGGGCTATAGGTAGAGCATTTTATCATTGTAAGGGAAACGGGGAGCGGGGGGATCTGTTGCATTTGTTTTTTTTGTTTTTTGTTTTTTTTTCTTTTTATTACAGCATGAAAGATCATTTCCCCAGATTGAAGGCGTTGTTCTGTTTACAGCGTGCACATGTAGATCAGCTAGTAAAGCAGAGCCCAAATTCTTACTATTCATCACTCAGAAGCCAAGGAGGAACATAAAGGGAACAGGAGGGAGAAGGAGTCCTGCCCTAAATCTCCTTCTCTGTGACTGATATTTACTCAGCATCCCTTGTCTTCATTAAATTTTACACTAAGTGGTCTACAGTGAGAATTAGTTATTTTCTCTCTTCAGTTAAGGTACAAAGGTTTTAAAAATGCTATTCTCTCAAGAGGAAGTTAAGGAGAATTCTGGGTGACTTTGTTCCTTTTTTTGTACCAATGGTGAAAACTGTTTTTCCACTTTGAATTCTGAGAAGCACTAGATTCTTGAAATACCTACACCAGGGCTGAAGGTACCTGAGTGCTGTTTTCCCATCATTATGCACATGGTTTAATGTGGTTGGAAAATGTCTCGCCACCTCCAGGTACACTGTGGGGCTTTCGAGCAGAGGGATCACACCTTTTACTGATTTAATGCCTTATCCCCTCCCTCCCATTGCATCATGGGAGTTCATTATGTACTGAGGGATTGAAAGGTGCCTTCATTCAGTA